GTATTAATGTTGTGTGCAGTCTGAATAAACATGCTTTTCCTATAAAATTATATTTATGACTATTATATATTGTACTGTATACCCGCATTGTAGAGACATTATTTGGTTGATTTCTTAGATATCAAATGGCAAATCTATTAGTAATTTATTGCTACTACTTGGGACAAGAAAGGGGATAATTAGTCTCGAGATGGCTCTTATCATGTTTATTATTAACCTGCAAGAAAATGTCTTCCCAATTTCTGATAAGAATATCTTAAATGTTTTTTATTGGGTTTTAATTTGCCATATTCACCTGGTATAGCTATCTGTATGCGAATATAGGAAGGCTTCTATGAAAATTAAAATAAAATTTAGACGAAAGATGCACCCCCCCATAAGTGAAGAAATGTGCGCTTGCCTTTTCTTGATAAGAATATAAGTAACGATCAGTGGTTTGAAAGGATCTTATGGTGTATGTTTGTTTTACTGGAATGTTGTCCTCCTTATAATGATAGTATATGAGCAGCCATAGCCCCATTTTGTATAATCTCTCCAGTACCTGTTAATTAATTTGTCTATAAACTATTATCCGTAACATTATATAAGGGCAACTGCTGATTATGTATGAAGGATATTGGCATCCGGCTTAAATGTGACTATTAGAAATTAGGGAAGATAGTCTAAGGGACTATTAATATATTTTATTTAAGCGCGTTAATGTAATTATTAATGGAAGTATCTATATTTATTTATGAGAGATATTTATAAATCAGTTCAATCATGCACTGTTGTACTGTCATTTTATTATGCATAAGAAGGGTATTCATTCTTCCCACTAAATATCTTCTAGAGAAATATGACCCTTCTTATCTAAACTAGAAACTGAGCAAGTGGATATTGATACTGTACGGAGTCACTATTGTTCCTTAATGTCAGGAAGGATTCTTAAATTAGGAGTAATGCCGTTGGCATATGTATACAGTAAAGTGCGAAATTCTGGTAGTGACTCAAAGATAGGTTTTACCCTAGGAAGGGGATCATATTAAAGAGGATATTCATAATGTGCTATTATGCTACTGCACGTAGAAACTGTATAGATATGCATCTGATTTAGGGAAGACATCCCATATGTATTAATGGAAACTGCTGCCAACCTTCGTGTTTGTAGTTAGTAAGTGTATTATCTATAAATAGAATCTTAAGTTGCTGTATGCGTCCGTACCACGGCAGTTACAGTTATATTGGAATCTCATTCTATTTCTTGTATTATCCGTATTGGACTATGAATAAGGTTTTGGGGCCATATTTGAGGATTAATCAGAGAATTATGGCTTAAGGAAGAAAAAATAAAGAATCTGCACATCT